TACTCATAACGGGAAGTTCATGTAACTTGCATCAAAGCAAAATAGCAATACGAACTAGTTTGATATAAATATACACTTAATTAAGTTTTTCATTGAAATCACCAACTCTATACACACACATAATAAATAGACAAACAGAACATTTTCTATCTTTATTAATTAAGCATAAATATATATATAGTATAATAATAACTAACTACATTTTATTATTCCGAAACCATAATAATTTCAACTATTCTTAGATTTTCTTTTATTTCTCAGGCAAAACCACATATGCTTGTTAGTCTCAAAACGAATAATTATCATTTTTGCTTATGAGTATATAATTATACATATGCGGGTACTACTTAGTATTCAGAAATACTTTATACCGGTAGCTTATCATTTTAGATAATATCATTCAATTTTGTTCAATATGTTGTATTACTTCAATAAAAATATATATTATTATTATTATAATATATTTTTTCAATTGATGAAATATGTACAACCTTTAAACTAATACTACAAATCTGACTTATATAAACTAAATATTAGTTTTCAAATTTATTTCACTAAATTTGGTTCAATTAACAGCCTTTTAATAGCACTTACATATCTCACTACTATAATAATTAGAAATGTGTTAAAATAAAATTCAAGCTCTAATTACTTTGTCGATACAAGCTCTATTTTCATTCCATGCCATAATAAGATTATCTCTTAATTTTGAATGCCAAATGTACATATCATTTTCTCAGCTAACATTTATAAATTATGAATATGAAATAATGGTTAAATTGGATTATAGTTGACTTCCTACATGTAGAAATTAGACACAGTAGAAATGAAACATAAATATATCTTTGGAGAATCTTAAATTCTAAGCAATTATAAATTAGGAAACGTTAAATAATTGCAACAATTTACATATCCTATATATTATTATGTAAAACGCAAATATATTAGCACACATAAAATAGTGAAATAAATAATCGTGCAAATATGATCTTTGCATTTTTGCTTAGAACTATAATGATAATGGTTTTTTAGAATGCAGCATATGCGCAATTGTAATATGACATTACTTCTTATGTATTATTCATTAACAATATGTTCGAAACAATTTCTTAAAGATTTTTTTTAATATTGATTGAAGTAAAATCAATTATTAAAACAATTAGTATTTGATTATAAATTGCATGCAAGGTCATGATATAATTATCATTTTTTTGGTTAAATTTCTAAAAACTTTTGAATTGCATTTTAATGCAAAGTTTCGCAAAACACCTTCTATCACATTTATCTCTAATTATATTATTTTACTAGATTTCAGTAATAGATTATTTACCATATAAAGTTCGTACAATTTGAATTTATCACAATAATTAGTTAAGCAGTAATAATGATTTTTTTCCTAAATTTTAAACCCTTTTGATTGTTTTATGTAGATATTGCTCTATTGAAAATTCGACGGCATATATAACTAGTAATCGTGACTTGTAGATTTAAGTATGTCCAAAAAGTAATTCGCATTTGCCATGTTCAGAGATACTTTACATCGCGTACACCAGAGGAGACTCAATGCTTTAATACTTGTTTTCTTTTGCTCATAAGGAGAGACGAAATAATTGTGATGATTAATTAATACAATTGATTAGTAAACTAAAAATCATTTTATGACAAAATAAAAGTATGTATCATGTTGCACATATCTTTATGAAGACTTGTTAAAATATTTGAAAAAAAATAACTGTAGGAAATTTACAGATCTACTCGTATATATGCATTCTAATTTGTCTATACTGATTTTTGGTGTTTGGCCCCTTCTTTTTTTGTCTGAATTTGTTCAGAACAAAGGTTAATCTATAGCAAAATGATTTTATATTCAATTTCAATTTGTTGGGTACAAAGATTAATCTATAGCGAAAAGATTTTATTTTCTATAACATCTAATTTTTTGTTGCTCACTTTATTTTGAAATAGGAAAAAGTCGCACCTTGGCTATATATTGCCTGACAATTATAACTTATATTATTTGGTGCTGTTCAATAGAACTATTTAATTGACTAAGTTAATGTTTATGATTGGAAGGCCCAAAATGAAACAAAATTAATTGAAAAGTAAGCAAAATTAAGTGAATTGTGAAGTTTCTACTAATATAATGGACTCAGATGTAAATTTTTTACAGCCATTAAATGATTCTATTTTTTTCTTATTAAGATATATTTATAATACTTATATGAAAATCGTTTAGGTATATTCCAATGGTAAAATTTGTCAGAAGTTTTATTTTAAAATTCGAAGACCTTGCAGTTTATTTCGTACCTGCGCAAGTTTCTTATCGTACCGGCTTAATAATGTGTGTTTTATGGATTTTCCTTGTTAAATAAAATTAAATACAATTTTGATAATATTCTTTTACTATAGTTTTTATTTTGACAATTTCATTAGCTTAGCAACGAATAATTAACAAAAAGTTGATCCCAGACTGATTTCTATATGGTTTGCTAGTGATAGGTACGACTAAAGCTATAGGTAGGAACCGAAAGCACATTTGTGAAAATCGTAAAAATACTTATTAAACAATATTAGTAATTGTTAATCAAAAGCCAACTAGGTATAGGTATTTAGCTAACTTGGAAATTATCAATAATTGCGAAGATTTTCTTTTATTTGAAATGCACTAAATACAGTGCTGGATTACCCCATAGGCCCGTGAGGCCCGGGCCTAGGGCGGCACAATTTAGGGGGCGGCAAATTTTTCAGAATGTCAAAATTTTAAACTCGATAAAATGTCACGACAATTCATTTTAAGGATAAATCCTGAACATTTTTTGTTTATTTAGGGATCATTTTCTATGAAATAGAACCTGATATATAATATAATAGAAACTGATAAGCTTTTTTGGAGAAATATTGAAAATCTGTTCGTTTTTTGTAATTTTGTTAAGAACAATTTTTGTTAATAAAACGCTTTAAAAATTGTTCGATGGCTTCATCTTTTATTTTCGGTATAAAATCATACCATGGCGAATTAACATAATATATTAATTGTTGTTTATTAATTTATTATTTTAAAATATATTTTTTGTTTATATATGAATTTTTTTAAATAAGCCTAAATAAGTGCAGGATAAAATTGAATCCTAAACTAAAATATTTGACAGTTTGTTATGCTTCCTCCAATTGGCATTTTTTTCAACTTCAGGAAGGCTAAGTTATAATAATCCCAAAATATCGTAAGTAAAATTGTTTATATATCTCTACGCTTCAAGATCTCCTGAACATTTTGACATACCTAAGAAAAAATGGATGTATGCATGCGTTTGTACGGTTACAATTTTTTGCCAATTGACATTCGAATTATAATATCAGGAAGACGTGCTGATTAGTTTTTTGCAAAGACAGTTCTATCCATTTCGGAATAGGGGCAAAGAGTTAAAAAATGCCAAATCAATTTTTCAAAATAAGAGCATCCGATTTGAATAATTCGAAACTCATTTTACTTGTATGACAAAATAAAGAACTATCGAAAATTTTGTGAGAGCATGGTCAGCGTTTTTGGTGATCCAAAAAAGTGACTTTTGGTGGTAAAAAATGATCATCAAACTTCTGCACATCAAATAATCAGATTTTTTATAAACAAATTATTAATTATTACAAATTTTGTCTTCATTATTTTGAGTCATTCCGCACCAAGATTTTTAATTTTTGAAGTTCACTTAGATAGTTCAAGAGTCTTTGCAAGGATCAATCGAAATGAATGATTCAAAAAATATTGGCTTGGCTTTGACCGCGAGGCGTACTGTTTATGCCAAAGGCAGGTTTAGCATTTTTGGAGATGCAGAGCGCAGAAAGTGCAAAAGTGGTCATGAAGGTTTTAAGAGTACAGATCATCCGATTGAAATGACTCAAAAAATATTTTGTTCGTGGTATTTTAATGGTATGAAGAAATGATTAGTTTTCTGAAAAGGCAAGTCGGCTTTTCCAAAATTTTGAGAAAATTAAAATACCTAAAATTTTCAAATAATCGAATTATTTTAAAATTTAAAATAAAAAACTCGAAATTTTTGGATATCTCGGTTCTATTTATCGAGTTTAGTCCAATGACTTTAATTTGTGAAATCAGTTCAGGCGTTTTTGAAAATTGAATTTTGATTTATCACATCACGACGTGTTAAAAGCGACTTTTAATGCAAATTTTGACTATGACATTTTATCACACTTTGATGAATTTTTAAAAATGTCAAATCTTTTGGCTCCTAATTGATATCTTTCAGAAATCTTTTTTCAATTTTAAAAATCGGTTTTTTGAATTATTCGGAAACCTGTCTCTCGGTTCTTTCAAAAACTGAATTGCAATTTTTGCACTTTTGTTCTGTATTTTTGAAACGTCTAGACCTGTCTTTGCCAAAAACTAATCAGAACATGTTTATTTATGGAAATAAAACATACATGCCAAAATGTTCAGAAATGTCTAAAACGTAAAAATATGCAAAAATTTTCATTTTCGATCTTTTGCGATTACTATAACTTACGAGTACTTTACGCAAAGTTAAAAAATTCTATTGAAAAGGGCGCCTGACCAGATAGGGCCTAGGGCGACAAAAAGCTTAATCCGCCACTGACTAAATATTACATCATGATACATCATTATTTCCTTATGGGATACGACTTAAGCAATCGTGCCCTTCGTACAAAATACTGCATGAATTCGATTTTAGCCTATATATAAAATATAATTAACGAATTATGTTTTATGTGTATACTGATTCACACAAGCTAATATATAGGGAATAGTCACAAATATGAGGTACTAATTTTACAGTACGGGTTTTAAAAACTAACAATATTAAAACTGTTTATGTAGAACTTAATTTGATCAGGAAACTGTTGACCTTAAAACATATTTTATGTAATTGGGCATTAATTGCTAAACATATTGAATAAAAAATACATAATTGCCCTATATGAAATTAAAACATAACTTTTTCTGACTATGAAATTATCGTAATATTTACCATAAAATAAACTCTGGTCAATGGTTAGTCGAGTGATAGGACAGATTCCAAGCTTGTCCGTGTTTGTGTAGCGATTCGTGGTCCTCCAAGGTAGAATATCGGATTGTAAAATGATCGTTGGGCCTCGTTCAAGAAGACCGGGGACAAGTTTTGTGAGCTGCGTCTTCCGAAGAGTGTTTTGTTTTTTCTAAGTCGTCCAAGGAAAGTTGACGAGCTTGCTCTTTTCGCTGTTCCGTTGGGGAACTCGGGTAACTGCGGGACGGTTGCGCCATCTACCTGGGCCAACAACGGACATGACGTCACCTAATTTTTAGAGTATCTATATTTCTACATGGTTCGTGATTGTCTGTACTGGTTTTGTATATTTCATGCTTTGTATTGTATTGTTTAAATTATTAGATATAATTTTTAGTATTGTTCTATTGTATACCGAAATTAAATCATTAATTAATAAATAACAATTTTTAGAATGGTTTTAGGCATGGAGGTTGCAGGTGAATCAGTTTGTTGAAATCAATTACTGACAAAGTATTTTTATCGCCATATTCTATCCAGGTTAATGCGCGTTAAATTTCAAATAACTTGTGCTTTTCGTAAAATAATAACGCGAGAAATATAAAGTATTTATAGTGAATGATTTTTTTGTTGTATATACAGTATTTTTTATTTGAAACAATATTATAAAATTTTGGTCTAGAAATTTTACATTCCAGTGAAGCGATTTTAGGTAAACTGATCAAATAGATTATTGTTGTGTTTATATAATTTTAATTGAATAAACTTGATATTTTATCACCTGCAACATCTGCATAGCATTATTCTTGACTAAATTTTTATTTTCAGTTATTATTAAAATTTACTTGTTTTGTTTGTACTTTTTTTTTAAATTTTACTTCCATTTTTTTATTTTACGAAGAGTCTATTTATAATCTAAAAGTATGTTGATTATACTCATTTATAAATTTATAAATATTTTTATTTATTTTTATTATTAATTTAATTAATTTCTGGAACTAAACTGATTTGTTATAAATCAGGAAATATCCTCTTTGTTTGCATTATAAATAATGATCGCGATATTTGGACATATTTTTCAATGTATTCGCATATTCTCTATTACTTGTTTCAAGAAATACATTAAATAAAGTAGTGGCATATAAATGCTATGTAAAATTGACCTCTTAAACAGTCTTAACACGCTGCATTTATTTGTTAATAGTTATGCACTAATAAATTTTTAATATCAATGATAAATATCAATCATTTTTGGTTTATAGTTGTTTTTTCATGTTACAGAAACTTTGCTTAATGGAACCAACTCTGATTTATGTGAGAAACCTTTGAACAAAATACTCTTATTTCATTTAAGCTAACTCGGAAAATTGGTTTTTAATTATATATACGTTTTCTTCTTTCTCTGCGTTAATTTTTCGTCCTGTGCCGGAGGCAGTATTTTCCGATTATGGGTCCGATCCAGTTTTCTATTTTTTTACTTTTATACCCAGTAGATTTCATTCTTCACACTCTTATCTTCTTCATTCTTTTCTGATATTATATAATTTAACTACCAAAATAGATTTGGGTGCATTTCCTCATAGTTCACATTCCTGATTAGTATTGGATTCAATACTTGTGATCTATTTTTAGTATCTCATCATATTTCTACACTTTCAACATTTTAGATTCATCAATTTTGATCTCCATACCATATGTCTTCCGTATTATATTGTCTTTCAAATTCGACGAATCCGCTTATCATTTTAAGTATTAGTTTGATATATATTTTTGATAATTTCACTAGATTATGCGTAAGTTTTGGTGGTGGCTCTTATTCTTCCAATCCAAATTTTCTGTAACATCTTCGTGTTAAGTTAGTTTTCATCGCGTTGCTAACTAATGCATGTACTTGATAGTGGATGTTAACTGGATAAGCTCGCGATTGATGGCAATAGTATTCAATATCTCCATAAGTGAGATCTAGTTGATAAAACAGATCCAGGTTAAATCGTAAATATTGAAGCAACCTTCCAGCGTGATACTCCATAATCCAATACCGGCACTAGCCCTTAAAATCTGGTGTCAAACTCGATTTTGAAGTATAGAAGTTACTGTTAAAATCGTTCTACATTTGCAGGAAGCTCAATAATTAAATGACAAAAATAATCTTTACGTTCGTGTGATATTATGTAATTAATAAGAACCTAAACTAAATGACTGACACATTTTGAGTTTTGAATTCAACTTAGTTTCATAATTGACAGAAAATTTTTATTTGTTACTAATTATATACTAATTTAATATAGTAAATAGTAAATATAATTATAGTCAATTCTAAACTAATTCATTAATTAGGTCAATTTTTAAATTATTTACGATTGTTTATTTAATTTATATATAATCAAATGTCATTTTTTATATTAATAAAGTTTATTAATCTTCATAAACTTTACTTGATTCATCTTGTTGCCAAAATGTGCGACAAGCAACATGCTAATTGCTTTTATTTGTTTAAAGTGCATTCGTTATACGTGTCATTATTTATCTTATTGTTGGAAAATAAATTAGTATTTATTCATGCAAGTATAGGAAGAATATTTTAAAAGATTATTAAAATTATTTATATAATTTTAATTGATATAAATATTAATAAGCCGCGTTATTTGTGCTTTTTAAAAATGTTATTGTTTTAAAATTCAGTTATTTAATTTAGAGAAAATTTAGAAATAATTTATAATTTTGAAGTTGTTAAATAAGTAAAAGCTTTTGTGATCACAATACCTTCCGTGTAAAGCCATTGGCTGAAAATGCATGCGGTTGTTGTGTGTAACTCTGTGAAAGAAGGAAAGAAACTAATGTGAATAATTGCAAGCTAAATATTTTTCAAATCAAACCTGATAGTATTTTGTGTCTGGTTAAGATATTTTTTATGTAGAAGTTGTATGTGTTATACAGTAGTCAGTTCGTCAATTTTATATGGCAGTTTAGCGTTTTTCACATCTCCTAATGTAGGACTCCACGAAATTTGTTTTTGTCTAGCTCTTGGGAGGTCTACTGGTGTAAAAACCTGTTAGTGACATAGAGAAGTTTAGTAAGGATCTATACTATTTGTTAGTAATAGTGTTAGTGTTAGTATCGATTGCTAAAATAAATCAATGTAACCATGACCTATGAATTTGTCAGCTGTTGTTATTGTATATTATACGATGAATTACGTATTGATACATATACTTTAACCTTTAATTTAACTTTGCTTAGTGTTTGATTCTCATTGTGCTCTGAAGTATACTACGATATAAAAAGCAGATGTTTTGAAACAAGAATTTTCGATATTTTATAAATTGATGAAAATGTAATGTTTTGAAATTTAAATTGTTTTACATTTCTAGATGCTAGAGAATCATTAAACTATGTTTGAACATCTAAAAACAATTCAACTATTTATGAAAGAAACTTTGTGATAGTTCTGATCTCGGAACCCTCTTGGGCAAAAGATGTATCGAGATAAATATACAAGAATATGGTCAGTTGTCAAATTATACCAAAGCCAAAGGAAAACATATGCTAAAAAAATATTTTCTATGTTTGGTGGAAATTAGCAGCTTACCAAAAAAATTATGTCTTACTAACACGCAACTAATATTATTTCAATGAATTTGGAAAATTGAGGCAGGTTAGTTGGCATATATATGCTAATATTTATTTGTATTTAAAATGATTATATAACTTGCAACACATATGAACGAAATTTATCAAAAGGTATAAAAGCATTATTCAAAGCCCATCCTGGTAGTTAGCTACTTATACGCCATTTGATAAGCATTTTTAAAAGAAGTCAAAAAATATAAACCCATAAATGATTTAAATTTTTTATGCACTAACAAATAATGATTAACCATTAATTGATATTAATAATTATATTCAGATCAGTGCGAATTTAACCAAGTCGATATTTTTCACATTTACGAGGAAATGTTAGATTAAGTTAAAGTGAGTTTGAATGATATCTTGACTAAATGATGTTGAAGTGTTGAAAATTGTTATAACTGATTGTTCAACACAAAGATTCTTAACATGACGTAAAAATCGCTTAAATACCAAAGTGGATCCATATAGAAATACGTCTTTTTATTTAGGTATATGTACTTATGGCTGTTCCATTAACGGCCAAATTTAGATATATATATAGTTTCCGAACAAGTTGAAGGTTGCCTTATTCTTCAGGAATTGCTATAAAATGCTTACATTTTATGAGACTCAAATGAGACAACCGTGAAAAATAGCATAAAAAGGGCGATTTTTTTTGTTTTGTACAAAAGTAATATATTTTCAAACACATAGCAGTGAAAAACTTTTAAATTCGAAACTTTTTCTCAACCTGTTTTCTGTAATATAAAAATATTTTTCTTTTATGATATATTTTGTCATTTTCGTCAAATAAAACATCACAAAAGGGAAAGTATTCATCAGTATTAGGAACATAATCATCATAAAGTATGCAAATCTATTTATTACTTATGTATATCAATTTGTGTAAGCATTACTTAGCAAGTAATAATTTTTGAAATCTTGAGTTTTGCAACAATCACCGCTTTCAATTAAAAAGCACACACACACACACATATATATATATATATATATATATATATATATATATATATAGTCTTTTCATATTAATGTTAGTTTGGTTAGCATAAATAAGATACAAGTAATTTAGAATATTTTTGAACTATTTAAAATAGATTTGAATAATACGAAGTACATTTATTGATTAACAATAAGCAATAACAAATAGTTATTAACATATAAACCCGTATTAATTATTACACATAACAAACTAAAACGATAATTTACTCGTAGATGAATTTTATTTTTATTTTCTTCAATATATTTATTCATATTACACCGAACCAAACTACTTGTATTTTAAAATTATTTCTAGATATTATTTCTAATAAAATTTTGCGAGTTGCGGGCGGACTGCAGTCTAATATGATGTTGCATATATTATATTGTGCATAATCTTAAAACTAAATATCACTACTTTTACTTGCAGTTTAAATGAATCTGTGTTAGATTAATGAGTATTTTAGTGTAATAATTCAAGCAAGCATAAATATATTTTAATTAATAAATAAATGCTAAATTGATAACTAGTTTTTGATTGGCTATCCATCTGGAAACTATAAATATAACTTAAGTAACTCATTTTCAATTTGTTATTACTATCAACTAATTGATATATCGAGATGAATGATGAAGAGATGGCTTTATTTATGCAATAATACTCAATATAGGAGAATACTCGCAAATCACATTACTGCACTGATACATAGGATACGGTAGCGATAATATTTTATGCGCATCTTAACATTCTTAACATGATGTCAGAGATTTCTTATATATAAATTATTTGTTTTCAATAAATAGTTGTAGGTCTTTGAGTTAGCAATTAGTTTATTATCTATTATGTGTCCATATTATATAGATACATAATGATAAATGAGTAGGAAA